TGTCCTCCTTTTCCTATAACTGCTGGTAAAAAACAAATCCCATTTTCTTTCTCCCTGCGGCTAATATTATTCAAAAATAAGCTTCCGATCATGAATTAGATTTTAGATTTTCTGGAGGAGTTTCCCAACCACAAACCTCTCCGTTCTGATTTATGGTCTCATTTCTAACCCCTTTCTACCGCCAACTTTTCAAAAATTGCTTTCACTTTTCGATCAACAGACAGAGTTGGCGGCTCAGTTTTTCTGTCTTTGGGTGCGGGGGGGTCATTTTCACTCCCTTAGCTGGAGAAAAACGTTCTGCTTAATCTTCGAAATTACAGCATTGCAAATTTACCCTCATTACGTTCAATCCTTTTGCTTATTGATAAAAAGCTTGACAAAGTTCATTAAATACGCTCAGAAACCAAAGATTCTTACTGTCGGTTACTTTAGACTAAAGATACTCATTAAATCAGATAAATGAGACGACTCGCTTGAATTAACAGGCAAGAAGTTTCTTTAAAGGCATAAACATTTTATTTCAATTATTTGCAACAAACCGCTTCATTACAAAACTAATTTACTTTTTAAAAATTTTAGAAACTACTGTTCTAATCACAGTCTCGTGATAAACCGAGGCGTTACTACTCTTTTTCAGACAAAGTATTAACTGAGGTAATTTACTTACCATAAGTGGCACAATATTCTCCCCACTTGAGTTTTAGAACCTTTGGGACAAAACAAAATATAAACATTAAATGTAAACTTTCTAAAATACATGAAATATTCAAAATATAAAGTGTCTATTTTAAGTTAATGTTCGGTAACTTCCAAGGAGTACAGCCTTTGAATAGGTCTGAGTAAAGATCCTGTACAAGTTTTCATTTTTACTAGTCTTGTACGCCCGTCTCTCACAGAAAAGAGTTCAATCACTCTTTTTAGTGGCCAGTGAATTCGTTTTTTATCCTCTCTACCAATCAAGAAGATGTCTCCAAGTTTAATTTATATTTTCGTTTTTCCAACTGCAAAACCATCCTAAGAAATTGTCGGATTTAATCTTTAAATTATTCCAGTACTGTACAGAATAATGGGGGGCCCATTATTCTCAACTATAATTCACTGATAATTTGGTTTCAAATGGTTTTCATTAATTATATTAATGGTGTGAATATCTGTAGTAGGTTAAAATAGCTATAAATACTTTATTATTAATGCTCTATTATTAAAAGATTTATTCATTAATTACCTTATTCATTAATTATTAATTGTGTAATGATAAGCAATAAACTATTATAATATGAGAGAACAAAAGAAATAAAATTGATAATTTGATTATATATGGAAAACTTTCATCGGACAATATACACGAAACGTATCTGTGATTATTTTTAAATACTTACTTGTTGAATTGAAAAATAATGCGTTGTTATAATTTCAAAGATAAATTAAAGAGCTTATGTTCAGAGAAAGACAGCAACTATTAGAACTCGGGATTGGTGATAGAGATGAATAGTTAATGCTATGGCATCTTAACACAATATAATATGAAACGAAACACTAAGTGTTATAGACATTTCTAAACAAATCAAAATTAATTTTCATTATCGAATAAAATTTATAACGCTGAGAGATTACTTTAAAAAGTATTTCTGTGTTTCAAAGAATTTCAAAAGCTTTTTTTCACATTTTGTTCAGGCTTAGGCCTGGCAAATCAAATGTAAATTTAACAAATCGGCTGCATGAGCTCCGCTACAGCTTACCACTGTATATAAACATTTTTGCGGTTTTCCTCAAGTTTAATGCAAATATAAACAATCCTTAAGTGTTCCTTAAGTGAATAAAAGTTCCTAAACTCTACAGACATTGCAGAGTAGTAACAGCGCAGATTACGCAACTTATAACTATAGACTATTATACATTATTAATACATGCATACATACAAAACATAAAATGGGCATTCCCTTACTCGATTAGATTGAACGTTAAACTTATGCATTAAGATTACATTAACTGGTATAAAGATATTAATATGCATGTAAGAACTAGGTCTCCTATGGCTAGATGGGACCGTGTTCTACACTGCAGAGTTCAGTGCCTTAGCGCTTGGAATTTTAGAATCACTAGACTTATTTTTCTCTGTATTGAAGGTTGCTTGACCATAATTTTTTTGTAGGCGGCTGTATTTGTAGTTGGCAGAACGTGGTGAAAGTCTCGTGCAAGTCTCGTGTCAGATAATGATCATGATCGCCCATGTCTCCGCATACACAGACATTGGTATTTGTTAGGTGTCTATCGTAAAAGTGGGAAATGGCCAGTGTTTAGTTACGAAGCACGTTATATGCGGGTCTAATATTAACATGTCTGTACTGACCCTGTGGAAGAAATCGCACGTGTGTCTGTCGTGTGAGAGGGAATCCTAGTCCTCTTGTCAGTGGATTAGAAAGCATCCTTCCACGTTGTCTTTTTAATACTTTTTTGGAGGAGCACTTCTTTTGCTGCGCGTCTAGGTTCTCCGCCGCCTCTTTTGCAAGTAAGTCCGCCGCCTCATTTCCCTAGTGCCCAGAATGAGCTTCAATCCAACACATAACTTAAAAAACAACAGTTAAATAAAGCTGGGGTGCTGAAGAAAGAAGGGTGAGTCACTCCGCTCATATAAAAACTCCTCTTTGTTTTCCACGTCTAACTGCAGAAAATAACTTGAGGTCACTTTCATACAATCTTCACACACGGGATCAGGATATGGAATGCGTGTTAAGATACTCCGCACATCCCGCAGAAAATGGGGAGCTCCCTCTTGTTCAAAACCAAAGTCGTCATCCTCATGTTCATGTTAATTGGGACATTAACCCCAATTGTAGTACTTCCATATGCACTATTCGGGCCACTACACTGCAAACTGCTATTATAAAAAGACGAATTATTTCTGTATTTAGTGCACAGTTAGTTTTTGCTGTATTCGTCTTAGTTTTTTTTTTTTTTTTTTTTTTTTTTTTTTTTGTTATTACAGCGTTCTAAATACCCGGAGGGAAATCTGAATAACCCAGTATACATAATCAGAGTCTTATCTGTAGAAAGCGCACGATTTTTCATCTTGCTGTTCAGTTTCTTTGCACCTAGAAGTCTAACATGAAATTATTCCTTAGCATAGACTTGTTTTTCCGACAATAAACATCCGATGTGCTATTGTAAACGGCATGATTATTTATAAAGAACATGCCACACCACAAGTTCTCTAATCATCAGGACCAGGTCTTTGTACTGCACGCTGATTCTACCTACTGCTAGATTAACAAACTATGTGGCCAACACCTAAACAAATACCAATTAACCCAAAAATTGCTATAATATGGTTACTCAATGTCTGTGTGCTCAAGACAAAGATGTGGGCGATAGAGCGGTCGCACACATCTCTTCAGATAAATTTCCGTTTTTGAATTTTCGTGTCAAAAACATTACAGGTGGCATTTTGCGTCGGACTCCTATAAATTTCGGTTCACTTTTCAAACTGTTGCCACAAAATGTTAAGAGTCCTGCATTATATTTTGAAAAATTAAATAATGAAAAATCTACATAAATGTATGCACATTTCTCGCATTGTGAAAAACAACGCTATCTAGAGCCATCCAATTTTGAATGACGTAATCCTACTGCGAATATGGACATCTGAAATCCCAAATTTGAAATTTGGAATTTGTTTTATTATCGATTTCATATTTTGTAAAACTTTAACGAATTTTTTAGTAACAAACTCAACGATTTAAAAGCGAACAATGGCAACACTCTATGAGGAAAACTCCAGTGCGTCGAACTGCGTATCGGAAGTTCTAAAAATATGCTCATTTTTAAATTATTTTGAGACATTGCTATTGAACTAAATTTTTACGGTTTAGATGCGAAGAACATGATATTTAATAAATAAAGGTAAAACACAAAACGTTAAAAAAACGCCCCTTCGGACGCAATTTAAAATCTGAAACATTTCAGATTTTTTTCAAACTTATTATGAGCTCTTAATTTTCTGAACTCGTGCGTTCTATGCGAATTTAGCGGTTGAGCAAATACCAGGATTCATACTATCTGAATGTAGCACAGTGCCAATTCAGTCACAGATTATCTACCTAAATTTCAGTTTTTCCACGATGTTTCCTCAACCAGCATATCATCGAATACGATTCATCAAACAGAATTAGCTCATATACGTTATACATGGGGAAAACAACGAAAACTCCCAAGCAGTCAGCCCGTTCGCCGGGATTTGAACACCGAGTTACAGTTAATTGCTCAGCGATAAATTTCAGCCAACAAAATGTTTATGCATCAATTATTTCAATAAAATTCTCCATTAACTGGCATAACAACAGAAATTTGTTCAAGAAGGTTTAACTTTATAGCACTGTTCTCTAATTTAAAAACATTTTTATAGTTTCAAAGCAATGTAACTTATTGCCAGAATTTATGCATTTAAGTGTTTTGAAATATTTTAATGCATCTAACAAACCTTATCCTCCAAGTTTTGCTATATGTTAAATTTGTATTGCTTTCTCATCTCTTCAATAACGAATCTCTTTCATCTACTCTTCTGCTAAAGCAAGTTATTGTCTTACCCATGAATTTCATGGAAGAATGGTTGACAGAGCCCTAAAGAGACTTATATGATGATCTATTTTCAGAAATAATCAAATGATAAATTATCTATTTCCAACCCAATTTTGAGGGAGTTATAAATGATTTATTTCCAACCCAATTTTGAGGGAAAGAACCCCTCTCCTTTACCACCAATCAACACGAGAGGACATTCGGCTCACCATATTTTTAGAGTGCCCCTATGCCGCAAAGACAATACATTTATAAAAAATCCATGCCTTCTCGGGGATTCGAACCCGGGCGCTTCAGTACTGCAGTAGATTTCCCTAACCACTATACCTTCTGAGCGGCTGGTAAAGCAAGTGCTAAGCAAATAATGTATGACCTGAAATTTATAAATTTGATTAAAAATGAATTATAATGATTAAAAACAGTACTTTTAGTGAAAAACGATTTATTTCTAAAAACGAAGTTCAATTTCGGTTAAAGAACAACACTATTAAAACTTTGTCCTCAGTTCACATCTTAAAAATAGAACTTGAATGTAAAAAGTTTTAAAACAGAGCAAGGTTTTAACAAGTACTGGGAAGTCCAATTACTTTGCTGTGATACTTGAATGAATCATTCTGCAACCGAAGGAGATTATTCCGAAGTCAACTTCTTTTTCTGTCCAACTTTATTCTTTAAATAATAAAATGCGCGACAAAGAATATAAAACGCAATCCGAAAACATGCGATGCCCATCATGTATACAGTTTTTAGCAAAATTGCTGACTGATCTTTCCAGGTTTTAGATTCTTCATTTTTATTCTTTAACGAGGTCTTCCGTTTACCATGTTTTGATTTGCCATCCTTTGCTTCCGAGGAATGAGCTGGAAGTGAGGTATTGCCGTTACTCTCAACAGCTGATGGAGATTTTGAAGAATTATCGATTTCAGGATCCGGGAAGTTGAATTTAAATCCTGCAGCGTTTTCCTCGTCAGAAACTTGACGGCGTTTTCTACAAGGCAAGGAATGCGGAGTTTTCGAAAAAGCCTCCGCTATACCATCTTCATCTGTCGGCTGAAAAAGAAAAGAGACTTAGTTTATGCTATACTGATGTAAAAAACACAGGGCAAGTCAAGTATACGGCTACATGTTTATCTCATCGCATGATGGCTGTATATAGCTAAGAAAAACAGGTTGGTGCCACTGGGAAATGCATATCGATATCAACTAAGTTCATGTTACTGTTGTTCTTCATTGGTTATTAGAATCTTTTCTCTCGATTCTCATAGGTTGAATACTAGTAGTTCGACCCGGTTTAGATCCAAATCCAGAAAGAGCTAAGCTGCGTTCCTAAATTTTCCACTGTGTGTAACGTGAATACGAACTAGTTTCCCTCAGAAAATCTTCCACGAAGGCATTCCGCCTCTTAAACTGATAGCCCTAGTGGCTTTGCTCTATTCAAATAACCAACCAGCTTCTCATAATCAACGGTAATAATGCTACGTTAAAATCCTATTGCGAGGAAGCCTACTGCAATTAACGAAATTCTGAACTTCTTTCATTGTATTTTTTTAATTTTAAAAATTTAAATATAATTTAATTTAACGGGCATATTAAGATAAATTTTTCTTGCATATTGAAAAACAATGGCCATATTAAGATATGGTTATAGCTAAGTAGATGTTTTCTTTTCGTTAAATTATGTTCATGTCACTTATTTGCTAAGGATTTTAGTTTTCCTTGACAAAGGAAAAAATTCATTAAAAATATAGGACTTAATTTAATATTTCATGCCTCTTCTTAATCTTTACTTGGTCGAAAGAATAACTGAAATTAATTTAGTTGCAAGCAGCTGGTAAAAGTATAATTGATGACAAAATATTCCGTAAACGATTTACAAGAACTGATTATAATTAAACTGATTTATATTCTACTTTGTCTATGTAGTAGTAGCACTCAGTGCCAGCGCTTGGCATTTTGTCGCCTGTCTCCTAAATTTTGCCGTCAAGTGCTTCACTAAATTTTAGCAATTTAACTCCTTTTTAATTCCGCTGTCCGCTGCGGAAGCACCCTTTCTGGAAAAATATTGTTTATACAAATAGAATATTCGTAGATTGAGATTTTATTGCCTGTAAATGGATATTTTATTTTAAATTTAAAATATCCATTTGTAATAGATGATAATATTATGAAAACAAAATTGCCGGGAAATACTAATGTAATGTAGTTAAAATATTTATAAATTATATAGAAAATCCCAGTAACGGAACAAAAACTGTTGACTGAGCTCTCCAAACACGTGTCACTATCTCATTTAGACACCTTTTGATTTGGTGACCAAGGAAAGAGATAACAGACATTTCGCATTGTCGATGACCTGCGGCGATGTTTAGATAGTTCGGTACGAGCGGACCATCATTTCTGGGCCGCAAAACAATGAGATTATTTTATTCTGTGATGTAAATATGCAGGGCGATTCAGGAATCTGTCTACGTAATAGCTACGGAAGTGAACTGATGCAACTGGAAAGTCAATTCTTTGGCCTGAACAGTAATCATCCAGCAACATCAACTAGATTTATTTAGTTGCTGTTCATCATCAATTAGACTAATGTGTCGCATGAGTTATTAGCGAACATACCGGTGTTGCTTTTGAGAGTCTTTTGAAGGAGTTCTTTTCTGGACGTTTCTTGTTGTAAACACTCGTTTTCTCCCATTTCTGGTAATCGGGAAAGTATACTACTTTAAAGATGTCTTATGGACTTGCATCCGATATGCAGTCATCCCCACCGCAATCCTTAACTTGTCATTACAAATTCAGCATCATCTTGGTCAACAGCAAGCAATCCGAAAACATGCGTTCATACGTCAAATGAACGAAAATTGGCTTAATATTTTCCTTTTTGGTATAACATACCATAAAACTAAGTTTCTCATATGTGTAGCTATATTTCTGATTAATTTCTTAGCAGATCTGAGCTAATCTTTAGAATATGGTAACAGGTAGTTTGGCGACATTTTGGTAAGGCGATAAAGGTTACTAGCTAGGACTTTAGCAATAATCTGAGAAGTACACGGTTCGAATCACAGATTATTTTGTCTCAGAGAAATGAGAGATCATGAGACATGTAATGAGACATTTTTCGGAAAATTCCGATCGTGATTTTAACTAATAAGCACTAGCTAATTTCGCAGCTAAAGTGCAGAATCGCCCACTTATTTGTTTGGCGCTTTTTACAAGAGTAAGAAGAATTTGATTTTTGTCTTGACTTTTTAAGTGAAAATAGGTCGATGTGTAAATAAAGTCATAGATAAAGTCAAGAATATGCGCAATGCCATTTTTGTGCAATTCTGGGATGTTTTTTTTTTTTTTTTTTTTTTTTTTTTTTTTTTTTTTAAAGTGAAAATAGGTCGACGTGTACATGGATACCGTGTATGTGCAATTCTTAAAAACGCGGCAAGCAGTTTGCGATTCTGCACTTTCTCCCAATTTCGCACCTAATCTTCGTCATGATTAAGCATTTTTGTTCCATAAAAGTTCTAGTATAAGCGTAATTCGGCTAGCAGATTGTTGGAAAAAATGTTGAGTAAAAAAAAAAAAAAACATGCCTTTACTTCGTGAAAACAAAATGACGTTCAAAACAAAACTAGCAGGTTGCTGTAGCAGGGTTGGTCCCCAAATTTTCGCCAAAAAATCGCCAAGTTACCATATTGTAAAGACTCACTCAGATCTGGTGTTACAATGGCATGTTCTACTAATAGCAACTGTCTGTAGTGTGGATCTCTCTTAATTATCGGATATTTAATATTTGAATACAATTTTCGATCTAGCCCTTTTTACGAAGGATTAAGAGATTCTGGACTTCTTTCACTATTTCAGAAGTTAAAAAATTTAAATATATTTTAATTTAACACAGTGATATTAAGATAAATTTTTAAATTAATTTATCTTCTTATGACTGTCTGTTATTTGCTAAGGACTTTATTCTTGCTCGACAAACGAGAGATTTTATTAAAAGTAGGATTTTACTTAACGTTTCAGGCATCTTCTTAATTCTGTTTGCCTTTAATTGATCGAAAGAGTTACTGAAGTCAATTTAACTACGTACAAGCAACAGATTAAAATACAACTCATGGCAAAATGCTTCGAAACGATTTACAAAACCGGATTGTAATTAAACATTAATTTAGATTCTCTGTTTTTGCATGCAGGATCGGCGCTAGATTGTTTTGGTTTATTTGATTGTAGCAAAAAACTCGAGAAAGAGGTGCCTTCGTGGAGAATTTTTAAGGAAGCGGTGCTAGACATTCTGCCGTCCGGCTTCTAAATTCTGCCGCTAAGCTCTTTCCCGAGTTCTAAAGAATTTTCTGCCTTTCAACTTTAACAGTGTCTTAACCATTTTACTGATGGATGAAGATATATCGTCATTCACAACACTTGCGGAAAGTGCCAACAACACTACATCTTTGTGTATCTGATGGCGTTTTACTATTCGCATACCAAGAGAACTCTCGCCTTAAAATAAATTTATAGAACTTATAAATTGTCTAAGTTCATTGAAATACAATTAAACTATTTTTAACCCAAAGGAGCAATGTACCCAAAACAGCTATCAATTTCGTTTTGGTATTTAGCTTTGGTTCACGATAAACGGCGTTTCACTTTTCGAATTGTTACCACCAAATAATAGAACCCTGCATTATACTTAAATAAATTAAATAAAGATTTTGTATGAATCTACGTATGTTTCTCGCACTGTGGAAAAAAAAAACAGTACCTAGAGAAATATTCTAAATAACGTAGTCCTCCACTCGAATATGGGCCTTTGGAAGCACAAATTTGGAATTTTCTTATTATCTATTTCATATTTTGTAAAACATTAACGAATTTTTGATTAACTCAACGATTTCAAAGCCCGCAATAGCAACACTGTACGGGGCGAGGGGGAGATTACCTCCAGCGCAAGAGACTGTATTAGAAATTCTAAAGATGTGCTCTTTTTAAATTATTTTACGGCTCAAGTGCGAAGAACATGATGTTTAATAAATGAAGGTAACCCACAAAATGTTGAAAAAGCACCCCTTTGGGCGTAATATAAAATCCGAAAGCTTTCAGAATTTTTTTGGTTGTTTTTTATGGTGCTTTTATATTGATGTTATTCGTATGATTTTCAACGAATATTGAAATACAATTGGCATTACTTTCTTCTTTCTTTGTTTTGTAATATGCTGGTTTTTAAATTTTGTTTGGTTTTTATGAGTTTTTTCCTAAAACTCACAAAATTCCTCAAATTGGCCCGGTAGCATATTTCACAAGTGCACATCAGGGTAGCCACTGAGGGAGGAGTTTCGAAAATGGACCAATGAGCTTCTGTTGCTCTTGTGACGCTAAATCGTCGTGCATGTGAGCGTATGTTGTTTACGTTTTAATTTGCATTTGTTTCGCAGTTATAAATGTATGGCGTAATAGCAGAAAATTTCGTAGTGCTTTTGTTTTGTCAGTGTAATTAATCACCGACCTTTCACTTTCGCGATTTTTATCACGCATTGATATTTGGATTGATGTTCACGGCATATTATCGCTCTTTACATCGAGAAATTGACTCAAGCTACAATTAGCCTCGAATATTATGCATTTACTAACACATGTGGATTAAGAGATTTCAAGTGTTTCTTAGCTGAGAAGGACTGGAAGGGTTACAACGAATCTAGTGTTTTCTTATTTCAGTGCTTGCATTCTTTTGATTTTGAAAGTTTAAGATTCAGAATAAATACTGTGTATGATCCGATTATATCCATTGTTAGCATTAAAAGTTAGTTATATGTGAATAAATTGAATATATTCGTTGTGAATAAGATAAATTCATTCTGTTTGATGAGTATTTCTTGTGCAGACAGTACATTTAACATTAAGTAGTTATTAAATGTGAAATTTAACACACTAAATGTACACAAATGCAAATTAGTAAAGTTCACTTTAAGTAAAATTCTGCATTGGCTGTTATTATAGAACATTTTTTTTTTTTTTCATATAGACTGCAATAATATAGACTTCTTTTTACTTATATAATTGATGTAAATATTTTTTCTCATATGCATAATTTTATGTAAAGACAGCATTTGGGCTCAGATGTTTATCACATATTTCTTTCTTCATCTTATTGACCAATTATTAAGTAATATTTCGCATGGATATTTTTGCGGAGTATCCAACATGTGTTTGTATTTATTTTAAATTCTTTCCAACCAGGTAGTGAAATCTTCACAATCACTTACATTTGATCTAACTTCGCAATGAAAATTTTGAGAAATCGACGATGCTTTATTTTGTACAGAAAATTGCAAAATATTTTCACTCATCTCGTTTAAATCTTAAAGCGCGCCGAAAGATCATGTGACATGACAGAAATATTACTGGAAGCCCATTGGTGCATCCTAGAAGCCACTCCCTTGGTGGCTACACAGATGTGCACTTGTGAAATATGCGGCCCGGTATTCTTCGCATAGGTACGATACTTTCGCTCGACACTAAGAGCCAAAGAAAACTAGCTCATATGCCCGTTACACATGGGATAAACCACGAAAATGTTCATGCAGCCAGCCCATACGTCTGAAATCGAACCCATGTCAACTACAACTATTCAGCGACTTTACTACTCGGCGATAAGTTTACCAAAAACAATTTAAGAGCTATAAAATTTCAGGATTTCATATAAACTTCGCTTCTAGGAGGAGTTTTTCTTCTTTGTTGTAAAACAAACAACACGCGCTAAATGATTGTTTAGAAAGATATGTGCTCACTTAATACTTTTAGAGATTAAATATGTTTCATCAATTCATTTTGACTACAAAATTTCTTTAAACATTAAAAAAATAAAGAGATATCTTAGGTTAGTTGTTTTAATGAACAAAGACTGGTACAATCTGATTCACATTGAAGACATTTCATTAAAAATGCTTGCTTTGAAAACAAGAAAATTTTTAGAAGAGATAAAGATATCACATTTAACTGAATGGTGGCTAACAAGACAACGTTGGCGCGTATATTTTTTCGTAGAGGATTGAGGTGCGATGTCTGTATAACGGAAAGATCCAAAAACTTTCATATTTGATATTTGAAACCTGTTGGTGAGGCATTATAGGAAAATCTAAATAACGTCAGACAACCTTTACCACATCAATAAAATTTACAGTTTATCTTGTGAAACTGATTGTGGTAACCAGTCGTTCACAGAAACACTGTATAGAGTAAATCTTTCGGGCTCAAAACAAGTTTTGAAAAGGAGGAAAGACAAAATTTTGAATTTAAAGAGGAAAATGTAGAGAAGATATTTGATGGACGGTGAAGAGAAAATTTCACTATTATTGATTAAAATGCAACTTTTGAGCAAATGGGTTTCTTTTTATACTACTTACATGAAAATAATATTAATTTCAAAGAATTATTGAAACTATTAGAAATAAATACATGAATTAACATTGTATCTGAATTAGAATTCACCAGTTCAAAATTTCTCGAAATACTGCGATTTAAAAATATTCTTCCTGATTTAGCAATAACTTTAAAATATCAATCGCTTTTGCTAACTGACTACGGCAAGCGCTCATTTTCTTAGCTGAAACTAATACAGTAGGCCCACCAGCAGCCGAGCAGTAAAAGCTGTTGAACACTGGTAGTTCGGTCCGGGGTTCGGGTCCCGGCGAACGAGCGCTTTTGTGGTTCCCTATGTGTAATGCGGATACCAGCCAGTTTTCCTTAAAAAGGGACTCCACGGATCAGGTAATTAAAAAATAATGCAGTGTTTGTTCTTAATGATGTGCCAAGAAAGGTTATTTAATTCAGAGTTATGATCAATAAAAAATCTACTCATTCGGCTGATGAAAATATTCTTGAAGAAGATAGAATTTGGCATAAATGTATGTAAAAACAGGTAGCACATCTTTCGAACATCTTTTTACGATCCCATCCACTTCAGCTGTCAAAAGAAAGCAAAATCTAATTTCATTTGGAGCATCTTTTTAGCATTCTTGAAGTTGTTTGATACATCAAAGTAAAAAGTTGCGTTATGCAGTACTAATAAATGATTGAAAATATTAAAAAAAGTTTTCCCTAGAACTTCTATTTTAATTTTCTTTTGAGGGCATAAATCACAAGTACTCTGTTGCCGTCTTGAAAAGAAATTCTCAGCTTGTGCTCGGAAAACAAATTTTCATAAATATAGGAAATTTCAATGAATAATATATCAATTAGCCATTCAGGGCACATTTTTCCAATTGGTTACCTAAATTCACGCTAAAAACTGCATCCAAAGGATTATTAAAATCCAAATTCAACAACCGAATAATAAGCAGAAATGATACAAATGGAATTATTCCGCTTCGGTCCATGGCTTTCAGTACGTAATTATTAGGTCAAAATTAAATTTAGAAAAAAGTTATAAATTTCAAAGACAAAATTTTAATATATATATAAGAAGTACACGAATGTTTTACAGATGCTTAGTTAATATTATATACAAGAGAAATTCTGCACCTGTGCTCTTTCAGATGTGTAAATTCTTTACGAGTACAGTTACTCAAAATTAAAACTTGAAAGAAAGTATTCAAGAAATAACTTTTCGGCACTTGTTTGGAATGTTATAATAGGAAATTCGAACTTTTTGCTTAATCAAAGGCATTAAACCGAGTACAAGACTTAATGTGCTTATTTTTCTTATTTCTGATATTCAAATTACTGCTATTGATTATCAACGAAAAGTGCTTTAGAACATTAAAAAGCATTATATAACCTATCTGCAAAGATCGCAAATTATAGTCTGCCAGAAAATTGTTCCTGTTTATTGCATGCGTAATACGTTTAAATTTAGATGTTTTCATTTAAAAGAAAGTTTTCAAATTTGACACATCTTCTCATGAAACATTTTGGCCTTTATTTAAATTTCATAACTGAATCAATAAAAAGAAGTTTCGGTAGAGAAATGTCTTAACCTTACACTTATTTATAATCGAGAACGCAAATAAATAACGACAGGTATTCAGATAATTTTAAGCCCCCACGAATATGATTCATATGAATTAAACCGACCAAATGCAACTGATGTAGTAAAAAGCTATTTCCTTTCATAAAAATTTAACAAAATTTGCCCGAATAACTATCATAAAGTTTTCTTTTTAAACTACATTGCACTAAAGCTGTTTAAAAATTAGAATAACTTACATTGGAAAACTTCTTATGAACCATCATTTATCAAATAAAAACACAATTTCTAAAGTAAATGAATACTACTTCTGAAACAACACTACAATTAAATATAAACAGGGCCGGCTAACATCACATCGCTTACACGTCACTGACGTAATTTGGTTGAATGACTGCATGCGTGTGTCTGTAGGATCTACGCTATTTTAAATATATGCAAATATTACAAGTGATAATTACTGTGTTTCAAAATATACATTCTAATTTTTATTACATAGGTTTTTATTCAGCATTATTACGTTGCTGAGGGTATTAATAACCAGCCAAAATTGAAAGCATATCCGCATGAATCGCACAGTTTAATTTCTAAAATTAAATGTACCAGAGCTCCAAAGAAGGTTATAAGGAACTATGAAAATAAATATTCTAATTTTAAATTTTATAAATAGCGAGCAATTAAAATTAAGTATCAAGTTAAATGATACTGGATAAATAATAAAAAATTAAATTAATAATAAGTAAATAATAATAAAATGAATTCAATAATGACCACAGAATTGGATTCTGCTTCAAACGTGGGCATTTCTTACATCATAGGTGTATCATGCATTTTTTACGCTTAGGTTTTTGACAGTGTAAACGATCCTTATAACTGTTCTTCAAAAAATGAGAGGCATGCATTCTGTAATTAATAGTAAAATTAATTATGTTTTAGGGTTTTACTGTCACCTAGAAGCTTACCCTACTAGACTTGATAACAAGGTATCGCTTCGTCTAAAACAAATCATGGAGTCTAAGGAAGGTTAAAATAACATTTTTATTGAAGTTTTAAATGAATATAAATGCACTGCTTGTGTGAAAGACGAACATACGCTGTATGCAGTTATTTTATTTAACATAATAGTAATCAATTAAGTTAGATTTTAAATGTAGTTAGATCAATCAATTAAGTTAGATTTCAAATGTAGTTAGATCAATCAAGTTAGATTTCAAACGTAGGGACGTAATCTGAGACTGCACTGGCTCAGATTAACGGCGCGTAATTTGAACATCGGCTAGCAACACGCTAAAGCTGGAATACAACTTAGGCAGATAGTAAGTAATCTTATTAGTATCTCTGTTGTTAGTAAGTAACAACATGACGTGGCGGCCAGAAGCTTTCATCCAGTGTTTCCCAACCTTTTTTTGTGCAATGCCCCACCTAAACCTTTCTAAAATTCATATACCTCCTCAATTAAAAACTATAGAAAAATAATATGAACTGAAATAAACGTAAACTAAAAATGCATATTTAAATATGTATGGCTCATTCACCTCACCGAAAAAAGAAAAAAAAAAAAATACTTCTTAGTTTACAAATTTTTTAGGAAAATGATGCTTCTAAAATTAATCTAATTTTCTAATTTCAATAACGGCTTTTTTTTTTTTTTTTTTTTTATACGGTGATCACTTTGCGCAGGAAAGAAGTGGGTGTTTCCCTTCAAAAATTTCAAAATGTTTTCACTGTAACCGTAACTGTGAGAGTTCTATTGTTTTGAATGATTGCAATCTCGAGCGCATACCTTCAAATAACAATACCTGAAATTTCATTTCGATTGGTTGAGGAAATAGGCCGTTAGGCGTTCATATATCGGGAAAGTTTTTTGTGACCACCTTATACTATATGCTTATTACAATCAACATTTAACCTTATCACTTGCCTTTGTTTATGAAAATTATAATCATTGAATTATATAAAGAAATTCGAGTAATATCCCCCCCCTGAACCAACTTATTTGACTTTCTCTCTCACTGGTGCTTGACAAATAACAGAATCAGGTACAAAACGGAAAAAGCTAAAAACTCTTTTACTGAGTTGAAGAACAGTGTTAATTGACGTATAACCAAATTAAATCAGTTAGCGTATATCCTTAAAAAGGAATTATAGGCACCTTTTCTAAAAAAAACTTTTAATAGAATAAATGCAAATGAAAGCTGTTATTCGCATCTGATATTCACCAGGGCATAAATATTTTAGCGGATTTTTTTTTACTTTAATTACAAGCATATTGATTCAAAAATATTATTTTAAATTTAAAAAAAAAATTGAAAGGTTTCAGATTTTATATTATGTTTTTTTAACATTTTGTGTGTTACAGTTATTTATTAAATATCATGTTCTTCGCACTTGAACCATAAAATTCAACAGCAACATCATAAAATAATTTTAAAAGATCATATCTGTAGAATTTCCATTACACAGTCTCGCACGCTGGAGATAATTTATTTATTTTAAATTTTCCGTGCAGTGTTGCCATTGCTCGCTTTAAAATCGCTGAGTAATCAAAAATTCGTTAAAATTTTATAAAATATGAAATAGACAATAAAACAAAATCTAAATTCCAAATTTTGGGCTTCCAGATGCCCATATTCGAGTGGACGACTACTTGCTCAAAATTTGAATCTACCTAGGTACCGTTGTTTTTTCACAGTGCATGAAACATACATACATTCATGTAGATTCTTCAGTATTTCATTTCTTTAAATATAGTGTAAGGCTCTAACATTTGGTGGCAACAATTTGAAAAGTGAAACCCCGTTTACAGTTAATCAATGCAAAATACTAAAACGAAATTAATGGGAAAATGAATACAGAAATTGATAGCCTTTCAGTTTGTAGTAATGAGCAAGAAGCACTTAAAATCAAAATCACATTAACATTTTTTACATAAAAGGGCATATTTACTTAAAAAGAAGCCGAAAAATTACTTCTTTTTAATCTTTTGCTGTGAATGTAATTTTGTCTATGATCCATTAAATTTAAATTTGCAACAAATAAGTTTTACTGTATGAAATTCTCTTTTAATTTATATGTAGAGAATAATCAAATTATACAGTGGCGTAGCTAGGGTAGGGCAAGAGGGGACATCTGTCCCCGGGCGCAGCATCCAAGGGGCGCTAATTGATGCTACGAAATTTTTTAATGAAATAATTTCCATTCTTGGCACACAGAAAGGGGCGCAAAATTCTTCAGTTGTCCCCGGGCGCTGAAAACTCTAGCTACGCACCTGAAATTATAAAACGTTTTACTTATTACACAGATTCGTTTACACCTACTCCCATACCACACATAAACAAACAAACTAAGGAAGGGGGAAAGAACTATTGTTAAATATGGAGTTGATTTTATTTTATGGTTGAAGGTGTTTCAAGTCATTTAATTCTCTTCGGACGCAGACTTCGCTTTCGTCTCCATTTGCACGACTTTTCGCCGGCGACGTGCGTTTTGGTTTACTCTTGACTGCGCCATTGCAATTGCTGGTTTGCGCTTTTACTGAATTTTGACAATCGGCTAAGCTTTTTTGCCACCATGAGTTTTATTGAGCTAATGTTGAACGAATTTAACAGGGTCACTGAGCTTAGGCAAACTTCTGCGCTCAGCGTTAATGAAGCTCTCACCTATCACATTACCTCATCTATGATACCTGCTCTTCTGAAAACCTTCCCGATTTACAGGAAACATTCTTAGCTTCGCAGCAAGGAGCTAACGATCACCGATCGCCTCACTGAACGGCGAACCCTGGTTCATGCCAGTTTGTTTCGTTCAGAACCGCTATAGTGCAGCATACATCATCCGATGTGGAAAATGGCCTAGGAAACCCCTACTCAGGGTTGCCACTAAAGAGGAGAATGAAATTACCTGACTTTTTCAGGTGTGTTTTGAGAAAATTCCAGTCTATCTGCATAGTGTGCGTTGGCTGCGCTGAGAGATAAATTAATTATGGTACCACTTAAACACAAAAATTTGCCAATTGCATATGACTTATATATATAATCCTGAAAGCATTACTATTATAGCTATAATAGGAGCTGTTTTCTCCACTGAAAGATTGAGATTAGAATCTGCCCAATCTGGATTTTAAAAAATGAGTTTTTTTGCAGACATTTTGCAGCTAAACGAAAGAAATCTATGTAATGATATTTTGAAACAAATTCAGGTATTTTATATTTATTTAGCAGCATACATAAACAAACATATGTGCATTAAATTTCGTGATAGTATGTCATCATACTGCTAGATTTAGTTTCAGAATCATGGCAGAGAAATTTGCCTGAAATTTGAAAGTATTATTAACTAATAATAAATAAATTTAGAGGAAAGAAGAATATTAAATGACATAAATAACATTAAAATGAAGTTAATTACTTAAATTTGAATTACAATAATCAATGCTATTTTGGCGAATATGAAACATTAGCCTAGATGATTGATTACAATTTTTTTTTATTTTACTGCAAAATGAAAAAAATCTGATTACTGCAAAAAGAAAAAATTCCAGAAAGGATTAAGCATGACTTAATTTGCAATAATAAATGAAGGTGTTATCTTTGTTGTTGCGCAGCTACGTTTCTCTAGATTAGCAACAAATCCACTACTCTGCTGTTTCAAATGTAAACAAGCAATGGCCGCCATCAAAAAAATTATTAGGCTTAGCGACACTTAAACAACTTTAAAATTGTTGATAATTCTAAAAATATTGCATACAGATTTACTAAAGGCATAAAAACCTAAACCAGAAGATAAAAACAACATAGTTCAATCATTTTTAAAGCAAAAAATGTACAATTTACAAACATATAAGAGTAAAGAAACTGAGATCATTGAGCAAGGTAACAGAGTGGATATATACATTTGGCGCTGCCGATTGAAACCAAAATATGAGGTGCACATCTACATGTTATAGTAGTCCTATATACAAAATTTCAACGTTCTGAGGCTACTCGTTTTTGAGTTATGCGAGATACGTACATACGCCACGAAAAATTCTCTTCAGAATTCATTTTAAAGCAGTTTTATAATTTTTTTGGAGGAAAAGAGTCTTTTATTCTGTCCTTACATACAGATATCACACAAAAACATTCAAAAGCGGTAAAAATGGATATTTTCGTTGAAATATGCTGCCTGAAACTTTTCGCTATTACAATACTTCCTTTTTACTTCATACAAGGAAGTAAAAAGAGGCATTTATTAAAATGAAAAAAAAAATTTAAGATTTTGCAGTAAAATACTAGTTTTCGCTACGGCCTTTGTACAATTTTGAAAACTGCCACCAACACCAAAATAACTGGTTTACTATCCAACACCTTCT